CAATAGGGTCCTTGCACCGTTAGGTGCTCGGACCCTAATAACACCTCAAAGGTCTTCGATATAAAACATACATATGCAACTAGAAAGTAGCAAATGTAACGGAGCAAACAGTAAAATATGTCCCTATTGAAGTGAGTGTGGTAGAAGCATTAAAATCCCAGTAAACGTTACTGTAATGTTCATCCAACCACGTTGTCAGTCTGGGTGCAGACGTGCCGCTGGAACACTAGGTGGTGTACATTGTCTTGAAATGGAACAAGGCGTCTGTGCAGCATCGCCTGAGCACAGCAGCTCTCGGTCAGATCCCTCCTCCTCCATGCTTCCATACGCTCAGCGAAAGGTGACAGAGAACACAGAGACCCACTGATAGAATTTGATTTATTTCCTATAATCTCAAAAACATACTTCTTACTTTGCTTGCACCCCAAGAAATAAATATATTCAATTATATGTAAAGTCGTACTGCTCTAAAAGGAGATTCTGACCAGAGTGACCGTTTGGCCGTCGTTAGCTATTCCTCTATGAAATTAATCTTGTCTTGAGGATCATTACAATAATTTATTTCATGGCTATTAGCGTCAAATTATAATATCACACACACGTACACGGATGCACACACACGCCGACCATGTGTTACACACACACACACATATGCGCAGGGTCTTTGAACTAGGTTATGTGCATCCCTTTTCTTGGAATTACAACAGTATGGCATATGGCATGGACTAAGTTTTCTCCCTGACTATCGTTCACAATAACACTGCATTTTGACGCGATAATACGAGTTCAATCAACACCCAACAGTTAGCAGGAACGGCATATAGTACGTGAATACATTTGTACAAAAAGGTATACACAAACAATACACTATATTACGTAATTTCTCTTAAATATGGCAGGTACACACACACACACACACACACACACTTACACATCAAATCACACATCCGGCTGCAGCTACTGAGTGAAGCTCCCTCTGTCGGGGTCACTTTCAGAGCCAGCCGTCGCTCGCTCACTCACGCAGATAGAGTCGTACTCCAGGACAGGAACTATGTACAGGGTTTTAATTCATAAAATATTGCACTTATTGGCCCATTGCATCTCACAGCGAGTGCCGTGACAATGCTCCTATATCTGTAACACAGAGTGATATATATATACAGTATCTTAGAATAGAAATCGACATTAGATACGTCAGGACTGACTTCATGCACTATTTTGGAGCTTTTTTTTCCTTTTTTCTTTTTTAATTTCATCTATGCAACAAACGACGGACAAAAAGAAATGTTTTGGCACTTTTTTTTTTTTTGCTTTTTTTCTTCTATGGATTGCAGAATTGAACATTTTCTGGATTTTTTTTTTTAAAGTAACCTACGACTTTGACACTATGTGGACTTATCATTAAGACACTACAGTACAGTATTTGCCCGCTAGAGGAAGCTGTCCATGTTGTCTACGCTGCTTTCTAGAGAAGTTGCTGAGATTTGTCTTTTTTTTAGGAGGGATTTAATTTTACGGCACACACATGAAATTTAAGCATGCTGACTCAAAAATTAAACAATTATTTTTTTTAATCATATGGCTGTTTATTCCATGCCAGAGCTGACCATCTGTTGTATTTTATACGCTGTACTGTGCTTTGACATATTCTTACTGCATGAAAATGCTGGATAACTGCTATCATATGGAGCTGAAGGGTTTGGGTAAAGGCCTGTCTTTAGAATAACGTGTTACTGACTTTTTTTTTTTTTTTTTTGGCAGCATGCTCGTTGCATCAAACTATAAAGGGTCGTCTTAGAGGCTAAGCACAAGGAAATAGTTGCTTTTTAAGATTTACGGATACACTTAGAGAAATCGCACATCTACGGACAGCAAACTGGTGGAATAGTACTCACATCAACGCTACACATACTGGATTCATTCCCAAAGGAAGCAGGACACGGAGGGACTTACAGAGGCCATATCGGAGACGCTAAAAAAGGCCACGTGTTTTTTTTTTTTGTTGTTGTTTTTTTTTCCCAAGGTAGATGATTTTATAGATGGCAAAGTTGCAATCATATGTGACTCAGACGCAACACTCATGCAAACCCACGCTCGCTTACCCAAACAGTCGCACAACAGCCGCGCTCTCGTCACGCAAAAAAGAAAGCCGCTACATCCTATAGCGCGCTAAATCGTAGATTTGGCAGCTTTAGGATACAAAATAAAACCTATAAAAGGAAAAAAAATTACATACTGTACAAAAAATAAAAGAATTATTAAAGCACTCACTGACTCTATCACCTCATTATAGTATAATTATTCTAGGTCTTAAAGATTTTAAAGGTCTTAAGGGTTAACTGTACAGTATGACTATCAACTATTTCCAGCCTCACCAAACGTACTCGGTTTCTAACCACACTAACTAGCCGAAGAATGAGAATACGGTGTCTCTATATTCTAGATATCCTGTAATGTTACACATTTTTACAACAGCCACGTCTGTTTGCTCTTGATATAAGGTGATAAAGTTGAGAGATAATACGACAGCATTTTCTGTAATTCTACTACTAAACAGGGGTTTGAACTGTAGTCCAGAGAAAGCAGCGCTAGCAGGAGTGATTATGCTGAGGGAGAACAATACTCTGTACCACCTTTCGGGGCAGGGGGACGGGGGGGAACCTGCGCTGCTCTCCTCTCGCTTCCTGCCGTCGGTCACTAACAGTTGCATCCAGGCTGTTGGAGGGGCGGAGCACTGTCTGTGAGTTTGGCAGTGGGGGCTCCCGTGGTCACGGCCGGATCAGTGTCCAAGCTCTCGGACATCTTGTCGCAAATGAGGTCGACGAGACGCTCGAAGGTCTGCTTCACGTTGATGTTGTCCTTGGCGCTCGTCTCGAAGAACTCGAAACCTTGGGGAGGAGGAGGAAGATGGAGAAATGTGAGAACGTGCGGCGGCAGATAACGGCCAACTATCATCAATCACAAGATAAATATAGTGCCTGAAGTTGTGATAGCAACAAATACGGATATTTATAAAACTACTAGTGAAATTTTAGCTTGATATATAAAATACTTTGTGAGATAAATTTAGTTAACTCATCGCCTGTCGATCCATTTTCAGCACATTTTTTTTTCAACTCGTGTTTAAATGAAGATAACTCAGGAACTATTAAAGATAAAAGCCTGTAATTTTCACTGTTATTTCTCATTATGCCGTTTCTTTAGAATCTGCAATTACAGGTGAGATGAAATGTGGAAAAAAATATTGAAGCTGCCGTGAAAACGTCGGAGCAAACATTAGAAAAACGCAGAAGTAGTGATATTTTCTGAACTATATGTAGCTGCATGCCACGATAATGCAAACATATAGAATACTTTTTAATGTGAAATATTTATTAGAAACATTTAAAGACTTTTATAACTAAACGAGCAGACGAGTTCAGATAATGTCGTCCAAACTTAGCCTGAAAATTCACCATGCGGAAAACTAAGTTAACGGGACAACTTTTTGAAAACATTAGTCTCAGTAAATATCTAATATATCAATAGAAAATCACTCATATACCATTTTACATATCAATAGGTTATGTTAAAAATAGTTTCTAGCAAATTAGAAATAAAAGTCTCTGATGATTTTAGATGGATTAAACCTTTTTATGTGATTTTTAGAAGAAACTTTGCTGCTTTTGTTGCTGCTCTAAAGCATCAAATCTCACAAAGCTAGCTTCTTTAAAGGAAACAGGAGCACAACATTTATGTCTTTATGCAACAACATGATGATGATGATGCCACCCAATTTAAAACACACACAGGTACACACACAGGGGTGAACGTCGCTGTAAGACCTACCCAACTGTTCCGCCAGCAGTCGGCCACTATCCACCGAGACCACTCTCTCTTCTTCCATATCACACTTATTCCCAGCCAGCACCACCTGAGCATTGTCCCACGAGTAGGTTTTTATCTGGGTTGACCTGCACGCAATCAGAAACAAACACACACACACACACACACACAAAAAGACTTTACATTTAAATTACAGCTGCTGCTTTTTATTGGCCGGCATCCTTATATATAAAAAAAAGGGAAGGACATGTTGTAAAGCGCCATTCGGACCGGTCGTGAATTGCATCTCCTTTCGTTTGGCATCATTTAATGTTTGAGTCACTGATGGAAAAGTGGGTCGACTGCCGCTCTGTCGTGAAAATTTGCAGCCACTTTATGCTCAAATGTGGGTTATTATTTGCTGTTTTGTAGCTGTTTGGTGTGCAGCCTGCGAGATATTTTAGCTACACAGCTTTAATATGTGGAAAAAAACTGCTTTGTCAGCTTAATTGTTGTAGCAGCTAACTATACAGAACAGGAATTAGCAGTTTGTTATGTGAACTCTGGATCTTTAACCGTAAAGCCATCAATCAGCAACCAGTAAAGAAACTGACATATATTCTGCATGTACTTTTTAAATGTTTCTGCATGACAACAGTACGATTTTGGCATTTACATTTTGAGGCCGTTCCCTGTGAATCAGTGAGGTGCTTGCACTGTTCCAACCTCTGCAGGCTGCTCACAATATGGGGAAGGAATTTAGGGAAAGGAACAAATTCCTCCTGTGGTGTTGCAGTTTGACAGAAAGTAGGGCAGTGAACACACCACGAGGCTGAAAACATGAGAGCAAGAAACAACGAGTCAGAGAGCGACAGAGACAGATAGCAGCAGCATGATGCTGGCACTCCTCCTCTCGGTCCAGTTCTGACTCGCTACAGCAGTTCAGATGTGGGTCATTTCGAATCCAACTGCTGATAATTCTCTCTGACAGAAAAAAAAACCCTCTCGTGTTTGTGTGGCGTCTAGCGGCGGTAAAAGCTGGTGAGCTGAAGATGATGGAGATGATTTACTTTTGTTTGCTTTAATACATTTTTTTTCATTTAATTTCATTGATTTCTTTAAACGTCAGCGCTACAATATTTCCCTGTTTTGTCTGTGTGTGACACTGGCAGGAAATGAGCACGTCACGAGCTTAATTCAGGCACAGTCGGGGAAGGAGCCATCGCCATGGCAACCTCTTTTTTTTTTTTTTTTTTCCTGCAACCTTGTCACAAGGAACAAGGGAAAGAGAAAGTGGAATTAAAGCCTGTGGCAAAGGCAAAAAAAAAAAGACAGATTCCAGTTATGTGGTGGGTAAAAAAAACAAAAAACAGCCTCTTTCTTTGTCGACAGATTTGTGTTCTGTCTGGTAAGTAAGCTCACAGGTAACTCTCCAGGACTGCTACTCCCAGTGACACACTTGGCTCTATTAATTAAGACACCCATCACAGACAGTGCTCAGACTGCAGTATTCCATCAAAGTGTCAGACAGCCGTTAAAAGAATAATAGGTGTGTCTGGCTCCGACCTCTCTTTACAAGAAAGCTCGTCTTGCTAGCAATTTATTTGAATACAAATCGGCCTGATAATGTGGAGCTGCTGCTAATAATAGAGCGACGCCGCCTCCCCCCCAGCTGGACCTAAATATTTTGCTCCTACTTGAAGAACACCATAAATATATGTCCTGTTAGGCTAAATGCAGCTGTTTTAGCCGTGACAGGTGCTTCCTAAAGCAGCTGTCAAGTGCTGCTACCTAAGTGACAAGAGCTTAGTAGACACCGGCCTTAATAGTGATCGTCACGGCGCTTCAAAGGGCGCAGGCGACACAGCGTGCAGGGGAAGTCAGCTGCAACAAAATATTACCATTGATCTCATATTTCCTCGCTGCTGATGTAATAGTAGCATCATGAGAATATCACTGTGATGATTCAGAAAGCTTTCCTCCCCGAAATGCACATTTTGTGCTCCCATAATCTCTTTAGGGTGCCAGAGACGGAAAACTGCAAGACAACAGGGTGTAAATACAGTAGAAAATGAAAGTTGCTCACCGAAGCACCTGTCATGGGGGAAGGAGAAAGCGCAGCAAAAAGTATATCAAAGCACACATTTCTCTGTGATTGCACAGCTCCACTGTGTTTCACCAAAAGCGTCGTGGTGCTGTGTCGGTTATGCTGACGACAACGTGTTGTTTCTGGCGCAAATACACTAACCCAGAAACCCGCTTTCTGCAGCTGACTGGATATAAGCGTCCAAGTCCCATTTTAGACATGAATGCATCATCATCATAGATCACAGGCATTTGGGCTTGGCTCAGAGTTGCTGCACTTGGTGTGACTCATGAATGGACCAGAGCCACGACCTTGACAGGTTTTCCCTTGATCCCCAAGCCTGTCAAAGATGCATGAATACGCAACATAACAAGCCTGTGAAATTTTTCGAGAGAGACAAATGTGCCATTAGGAGGGAGACAGAGGAAAGTAGGCAGCTTGTGGATTTCAGAAGACAAACATCACTCAAGTCCTTTTCTGATGTAATGTTCATAAAAATATAATTCAAACACAGAATGTATAGGGTTTAGAGATGATACCTTCTTTTAAAACTGTCAGAAATGGGCTAACATGACTCACCAGTCCTGCACGGCGCCGAAGGACTCCTCGTTGGTGATGTCGTACATGAGGATAAAGCCCATGGCCCCGCGGTAGTAGGCAGTGGTGATGGTCCTGTAGCGCTCCTGGCCCGCCGTGTCCTACGCACAGACAAACATGATTTAGTGTTGCTGTTAGGCAGCTTGACTGATCTTTACACCGTCGGGTTCAGCAACACTTCCACGACCCGTACAGCGCACGCAGTACATCGAATCCCATAATGGTAAACGAGCAAACATAATTAATATGCTGCTAACAAAGAGATTTGTTCGCTTTAAACAGCAACATAATTTGGCATGTTACGTCGACTCTTGCTCATGACTTCATTTATTGTGTTCATGATGTGGAAATAATCTTTATGCTAATTGCCTCGCTGGCTTTGCATTGATAAGGTGCCAAAGAACAGCGATTCAGTTTTGGCTGGTCTGATTGATTCTTTCCTGTCCTCGATAAATTAATCGCTCAGCTGTGTTAAAAAAAAAAAAAACAACTCAGTGGTGCAGTGTTAGGAGCTTATGATGTGCATTTCCTAGAAGGCTAAAAATAGAACTGAAATGACTTAAACATATAGAAACAGCCTTCTGCTCATGATAACAGTGAACAAATTGCTTAAGGCAAAGCAAGTGATTACACAGCATTTGAAGAGCAGCACATTGTCCACAGATTACCTTGGAAACAAGCACTCGCTGCAGCCTTTGCTACAAGATGTCAAAGAAAATGCTAATGTTCCAGACAAATGAAGCTCTTGCGTTCATGGGAAAGGAAGACGGTGTAGCCTTGTGTTATAAGTTACATAATGAGAAATCCCAATCATGTCCCTCCTGTTTGTACTGTATGTTTACTGTGCTGTTGTTACACCCACAACAAGTGTGTTTGCAGGCTTCTGTGAATCATGACAGAGGACTTCTGGCTGCTCCACTTGGCTCTGGTTAAACAGAAGCCCAACAGGCAGCGCTGGATTGTGTTTACCAGAGTATTCTTGCTTTCTGTCGGTCTGCACATGGCTGCAACGTTGTCTCTGTTATAGCCAGAGGACAGCTCTGACCTTCACTCCACACAGACAAGAGCTCACAGCCCGTCGAACAGCCGCACACACGCTGCAGTCAGGACTCCTCCGTCCGTTCACAATAACACAAAAACAAACGCATGTGTGCGTTTTTAATGTCGGCGGTAAAGTGTGTGCCGTATAAATAGCATCTTTTGTGGAGTGACATTGTGAACGACATAAAAGAGGACGATGAATGTGTTTCGGGGATTCTTTTCAGTGTCGCTGTGAATACACAAAGTCATGTTCCCAGTCATCTGACTACTAGTGTAACCTCAGTCTTGTTTATCGGCATTCTAGGTCTTAGACATTTTAGCAGCCTATTGATTCCCGGCTGAGTGCTTGACAATGACCTTTGCATTTCCAGGCTCTTTCAGTGAGTCGGTTTGCTTATTCTCGGTTAAAAAAGACAGAGTGGGGCAGGAAAAAGGAAAAAAAAAAAAAAAATCTGCTTATGTCTAGAGAATTTGAGCACCATGAAAAACTTCAGCTGTAGTCTGCAGCCCACCAGAAATCAATCCAAGAGGCTGACTGCTTCAAGCTGAGAGGCAACGAGCAGAAACTGACACTCCAAAGGACTCTTCTTCACTCACTGAAGTTCACTTTTTTTGTTTGTTTGTTTTTCACCAGCGCTCTGTTTTTCATTCACTTCAGCCTAACGCGACAACAGGGACGACTCTATGATACATTATGACGCTTTTATCTCTCCGCAGATTAATGGCGCAACTAACACAATGACATTAGCCAACAGCCATCACCTTAAATGGCCACTTACTGTATGTCTCAGCTCTCTCTTTGCCCAATTAAAAGAGACAGGCCAATTATCCGGATGCAAGGCCGATCCTTTTTTCTTTCTGAATATGCTCGTCTTTGCTAATGATGAAAACACATTATCCCGATTAGGCCGTCGTTTGACTGTCCAAACTCGGTTTTTTGCATCGTGATGGAGCACTTCTTATTGTCTCTTAATGCAAACGCCAAATGCCTGGGGACGGCTAATTGGTGCAACTATTAGAAGAGAAAGAAAGTTTGTGTTTGTGTGGGGAAAAAAAGACACACTGAAAGGAAACCAAGTGAAACAAACACAGAGAGGAAGGGATGGACTTTTATATTTCTTTCTATCTCAAAGGTATTATGAGACAATCTGCTGCCACAACTGAAATGAACTCCTAATTAAACCGCCTCAGACGTTTTTTTTTTTTTTTTTTCCAGTTTCCCACACATTCCGTGGAAGGTGTTGCTTCTGTGTTCTTCCCCGCTGTGCGCCAAACTAACACTTACTAGTCTCCTGTCAGTAATGTTGAGACTTCCATCTGTCTGCATACTTGCACCGGAGTGTTAAACCCACAAAGCCTTTACTAAAGCTTTGTGGAGTTGATTAAGCGCACAGCCTGATGCACCCACTGAGGAACAAAGCAGCAGTTTAAAGGCTAACTTTTTGCATAACTTACATCGCTGTTTGTACCGAATAACGTTAACTCCATTTTACAGTGAAGCACGTGCGACACTTTGCTAATCATCTCTGTAACAAGAGATGCGAGGCTGCGTACACTAAGTAAGCATGATCTGCCCTCAGACACAAAACACTGAGAGGCTCATAGCAGCCATCCGGTCCCAACCTGTCACAGTCCTCAAACATATCGATCAACGGAGAACGATATAGGTGGAGGTCAGGACAAAAGTGGCATCTGGATGTAGAATGACAGCCTTTTACAGACAGGAGTCACTCGGCAGGAACACAAACATGGAGGGAACAAGAGAAATGATGAGGGGGCAGGGCATCTCTGAAGAGCCCCTTCCCCCTTAGAGAGTCCTCCAGGAGACCTTGGAGGACAGAAAAACAGATTTCTTCCAAATGTACCTGCGTTTCAACATCCAAATGTGTTTGTATTTTAAAAGGAAAGTTTGTTCGTGAATGGCAAGATAAAGAACAAACCGCAAAACATGAAAGTAAAGCATAGCGGCGGCTTGTTGTACGACGGTGCTTTGTAGCCCAGAAATTAGTTTTCTTTCTTCTATAAATTGCTATTATTGGATTTTCGAGATAAATATTCTGTGTAGAGTTTGGCTTTTTAAATAGAGGGATTTATGGGGAGAGCGAGCAGTGACTAAGTTGTCTGGCGTTGACAACTTTCATAGCTGTATTATATTTATTTCATCGGGCTTGGTCAGCAATCAAACATTTTGTGGCCCACTTCTAAATGTTTAATGCCCTCAATGTGAATATTTCATACCCAGATCTGCAGCTTGATCCTCTTGTCATTCTTGTACACGGTCTTCACTTTGAAGTCGATGCCCACCGTGCTGACGAAGGCTGAAGTGAAGGCATCATCGGCGTAGCGGAACAGGAAAGACGTTTTGCCCACGCTGCTGTTGCCGATGATCAGCAGCTTGAACATGTAGTCGAAATTCTGGTCCCCTCCCTCTCCCTTCCCTTTCACATCCTGAGTGGCAGCCATCTGCAACAACAACAACAACAAAAAGAAAAAGAGACATTTGTGAAGCTTCACCTTGAATCAACGTGAGGCTTCTTCTGAGCCGTGACGCACAGAAAACGTCTCAAAAAGTAACATTAGTTTTTCCGCACTTGACCCTGAGCGATTTTAGTTTATTTACAACGCAAGTAGAAGGCGAGAGAGCGAGAGAGACGCTGTATGCAGAGTACAGTAGAATCTTGTTGTACAGGCCACAGATCAGAGGTGACAGAAGGCTGTGTCAGGCAAATCAGCATGAGCAACACAGCAAGCTGTTGTATTGATGAGTATTAGATAACCAGGATTTTAAAAAGGCTGAGTAAAGCCATTCTTTAATGAAACAAGAGGCACGCCACCATTAATGCTATTAATCACAACAAAGCCAAAATTAGCTACTAAATTCAGACAGATTGTGCAGCTTTTAGATTCTAGATAAAATACTGTTCCCCCCCATATTGGAGATATCATCCACTGCATTGCAATTTTACATCACCTCAATTCAAATTGTATTTTGCAATTTTAGCTGCAGATGTTTTGAGTCTGCCTTTGGAAAGTTTTCCTCCAATAAACACAGTCATATATGTAAGCAACCCTTTAAATCTGCATCCAGCTGCAGCTCACTGTTGTGCAAAAAAAAAGGGATAAAATAGAAATGCATGTTTCACCTTAGCAGAGCATCTACACTGAGCGTTTCCGTGCAAGCTGTCAGCAGTCACCGACCCGAGAGGACAAGAGTACCGGATGACAAGAGCACAGTCATCTTTGGTCCAAGGTGAATGTATTGTCAAAGCCAGTGAGCTTACATGCTAAAGCCTATGCAGTTAATTAAAAAAAAAAAAAAAAA